GCATATTGCTGACAATGCAACTACCCTCTTCTGTTTATACTCCTCTCTGTTACATCGTAGATAATTTATAAGGGTAGAGTAAATTGAATGAATGAAGAGTTCAGGTGGAGCAATTGTTTTCGACTCTGGAGGAATTGCGTGGATGCTCGAAATGGCATTTCCTAATGCATTGGCGACAATGCAACTACCCTTATCTACCCCAACAAATCATTCATATTCTTTTCTTCTTCATTACATTTTAGTTCATTTAGTTCATCACTGTGTAGAATTTGATGTATGCATGAATCGCGTTTTTGTGCATCTTTTTATTACGACGCGCTCAAATTTGGGGTTTAAGATGTAACCAAATTATATGTTTTGTGTATTTTTTATCTCGTTGAAATCATAATGCCCTCAGGTGCGTAATTGTTAAGTCCTTTCTTAACTAATGTACAATTGATATTATTTCCGCTTTTTAAATTAAGCGCGGTTCTACTGCTCATGCCCCTCTCCGTTCTCATGTGCCGTCAAGTCGCATGAGTTATACGGCGCTTTGGAGATATTTTATTTGTTTATAGCATATTTATTGAACATTTTCATAATTTAGTGTTGGAGGAAATTAAAACTGCGGTGGAGCGATACTTTTTCTATAATATTTTGGATCAAATGTTATCGTCTTAATTGGTTCTGTTATTGGATCAAGTTTCTCCTCAATTAATTTTTTATTTCTCCCAAGTCGGTCCATATAGTACATTACGTACGCTCCACAATGGTTCGAATCGCGTTGAATAGGTCGTGATAAATTATATGTAGATTCCTGAAAATTGCAATCGTGCAGAAAATTTTTTCCCATCGCGGCGCTGCGCTTCACAAATAATTGATAGTTTGAATGTGCCAGGACAGTTCTATCAGTAAAATTTGCATAATATATATGCTGCATCCTTTGATGGTTGCAACACCATGATCGGCGCTAAAAACGGGATAAGAGCTCTTTTGAAAGCGTCTATTCCAAACATTATAACTGTGCGATGTCCAGCTCACATAACACATTTGTGTATGATAAACCCATTACCTGAACTGCCAAACTCTGTTTTAAGGAGGTACCTCCGCTCAAAATTTACCGAAGAGATTCGACTCAAACTTCGTACACTAATCCTTTTTAATGATACAAATGAACTTGCAAAATTGTATGCAAGTTCAGTACTTCGTTTAGAAGATATTCGTATTTCAATTTAACATTGAGTCGAATGAGAAAGTCAGTTACAAGAGAATATCTCAAAATTTACCGAAAAGATTCGAGTAAAATTTTATGTGTATCATAATTAACTACCAAAGAACGTACGGTTAAATTTTCGTAGACATTGGATACCTTTTTAATGCTCAATTAATTAATAATAATTGATTGACATTAATCTAGGGACATTTGACCAGAATTTTGCCGGCGGGAGCGGATGACATAACCTAACATTTTTGAATTTCTCAGCGAAACGCAAATATCTTATATTATTTATAACAAAGACTATAATGACCGATAATTGATAGAAATTCAAAATTAAATAAATAATGGGTTGTTTAAATTTATATCAATAATGTTTTATTCAATATAAACATTTTTTTTTATAAAATATGATTGAAAAATAACAAAATTTTATAAGTTTAATTATAAACTTCTTGAGATTAACGACACCAGCCGAGCAGTAAAAATATTGAGTTTTTCACAGTTGGTAGTTCTGCTCGGAGGTACCTCCTTAAAAATATTCAATAATGTTTCGACACTATTACGCAGTCCGCATCGACACCACGATTACGCACAGATGCAATGTGACTCAGATGTCTTGCAACGTGTGATAACGACCTATAAAGAAACTCGATGGCTTTCTTTAGAAGATGTAATTGAGAGAATTCTCGAGCAATGGGATACGATTCTCAAATTTTCAAAACCATTTTCAAATAATGGTGATGACATCGGAGAACAAGTGTATTCTGAAATGCAGAGTATCGACGCGAAATGTTATTTATTATTGATGAAAAAAACTTGTTTATAATTGAACAGATTAAACTTGTTATTCGATAAAGATAATGTTGACAACGCATTTCATAATCTGTTCCTCATCATTAGTAAAAACTTGCCATTATCGTTAGATGATTTTAATTCTTTCAAAGAAGTCGTTTTTTTTGCCATACCTAGATTTCGACATATACGAGGATATAATGAAATGCATAAAACTGCATGGTAAAAAAATGTTACCGTTTTTTAAGAAAGCATTTTCATTCGTATTATCAATAATCATCCGTTTCAAAACATATTTTTTAGAATGCAATACAAATTTTTTCCGAGCTGTACGGTGTCTTCACCCCCACAACGCATCTTCGTTATCATTTCACAATAATAACTCAACTATTTTTACCGATCTATTGAATGAATGTGTAGTCTTGTGTTGTGATGAAATAAATCAAAATGCTTTACAGCGTCAGTGGGATATGTTGCTTTTGTATGACCTTAAATCTATTAAAAATGAAGAAATCGTTAATTTCTGGTTGCTTGTGGGCGATACAAACGATTCTGATGGTAATCAAGTATTTTTAGAACTCAGTAAATTTTGTTTATTAACATTAGCGACACCCCATTCAAATGTATTCCCAGAGCGTCGCTTTAGCGATATGAATAATCGTAAAACTATGAACAAAAACAACTTATCAGTAGAAACAATGAATGGACTCATACATGCGTCTCAAGTTGTTAAAATGAGCCCAGAGGAATATGAGCCATCAGATAAAATAATAAAAAAAGCAGCCAGAGGCCGATTCTATAATAACAATTATAAAGAGTAAAAAATTATTTTACAGTGACAAATATATATAATTAGTTGTAGTTATTTTTGTTAATATGAACTCAATATACGTAAGGCACATATGCAGTTTCAGTAGCGAGGAAAATGCTGTTACGTTTTATTGCACATATTGTAACAGGACAGTTCATCAAGAATGTATGCTTAATAATAATATGACAGATGAGAATTTGATAAATGAAAAATATTGTGTGTGTACTAATTGTTTTGAATACAAATTAAACAAGAATTATTAGAAATATATAGCGTTAGAATAAAGTTCTCAAATTATGATTATTAAACCCGCAAAGGACATGTAGAAAATGAAGTTTTTACAACAAATATATAAATAAATAAAATTCTTTTTTAAAAATCAGTGCAGAGTACGTTCTGTAGACTTTTATTTCAAGTTGTGTTGTTATTGCAGAGACAGCTTTTCAAAAATGTAGTAATAATTCAAAAGTGCATATGTAAACGCTAGCGAGATCTTGTTCTAGTTCAGGAGGTATTATTTCTGCAATGGAACACTTTTCTGTTTCTCTCATCATGAATGCTGCTGCAGATTTTAGGGGTTCCATATCTGTACAATTTTCTACATTTGACACAGGGCCATGCAAATATCTATCAACATGATTAAAAACTGAAGGTTCTCCATTGCTCTGAGTTTATGAATTTGATTCAAGATACTCATAACTTATTTTTTCTTGTAGGCGCTGAAAATATATTTTGTGTTACAATGGTTTAAAAAAGGTGGAGAGTTCTAACACAGCTATTACTTACTTTCTTAACCTGGCGAGGACTAACATTTGATAGGGTAAACCTGCTAGTTACCGGACACTGCTAGTTTTCGGACACTTTCAACTTTGAGTTAGAATAATAAGAGAACGCTTACTTCTAGCGATGCGCGGTTTTTTTTAATGAATTCAGCATGCAATTTTCTTCAAAATGACATAGTTCAAAAAAATATTGGTTCATTATATCAATTATAATTAAGTTAGATTTGCAGGCTACTTCAACAATATATGATAAATTGCCAAAATTAACGAAAATCCATTAGTAAGTGGTTTTCGTAAATCTGACTTAATTACTTGAAATTTTAATTATTCATCAAAAAAAACTATTGGAGCATGTTCAGAAGCCTTTTTTCAACAATTTCCCATAGTTTAATTATTTTTAACGGGTCAAATTGAATAAAAATTTTGGTGTCCGGTTATTGACCGAAGAAAATGAAAAAAATTTAGTTTTCGGACAGGTGTCCGAAAACTAGACTTAATAATCATTTTAATATGGTAGTTATCGGACATTCCAAAAAATAGTTTTTATATTCGTTCTCCATCCATATCCTTTATAATGAGAGATACAGTTATCATATGTGTCATTGCACGGCAATAATTTCTAAACACTAAATATTTTTCAACTATTTTATTCAAAAGAATGTTCAACTGTTATCTTGTAACTTTAATGGGAATAAATTTATTTTTTAAAAGAATTAATTTTTTTATTTGAAACTTGGTTAATAAAAAAGATAGAAATCTGTATTTGAAATGAAATCAAAATTTTTATTAAGAATTTTATACATTCTAAGCATTGAGTTACAAAGTGTAATTCACCCAGCTAACAAAGTGTTGGCATAATGACGGCACGATGTCAGCACGGTCTCATTTCATGCTAGCATTTTGACGTCCTACTGCCGCCCCATATTGGCGTCACAAATTTGACATGGTGTGCCGCGGCACGCCGTGCTGACAATGTGCCGGAAAAGTGCCATTTTCTAACTGTCGCCCAAAAAATCTGGCTGCACGCCGTGACAGCAAAATGCACGCAGCGTGCCGAAGACGACACGTTGACAGCATTGTGACTGCTCGTCGTGATGGCACTCCGTGCCAGATCGTGCTTTAATATAATTTCCACGCAATGTTTATTGGGCACGTAATGTTTCATGAAATTTACTGTTAAGAGTGAATTGAACTTAATTGATACCAAAATTAGTTAAATATTTTGGATTCTGAGTGTATTACATGTGCAGTATACGTGTACGATGTATACATTTTTAAACGCAATGAAAATACTAAATTTATAAACGTGTTAGTGAACTTCCCCAACAATTTTTTTAATTTCAAGGAACATCAATTGAAAAAAATTTAATTTAGCAAATTATGTAAAAATATAATATAGTTATAGTACACAAATAAACTATTTTTCTTCTACATTTAATAAAAAAAAATTACAAAACAGTCTACATGTTTAAAAGACAAATAAAAATCGCAGCTTTTGTAATTAAACTCTTTTCTATGTTTTCGTATCTATTAAAACATCTTTGGCTGGCAGATTAGGCAAAGCGGTTTGTCGAGAGGTTTTTAACATTTCTGTATTTCCTTTGCACCTTCCTTCCATACCAGCAATTAAAGTAAATATTGCATCCAAAGCAATAAATTATAAACTAGACATACTACTAGCCATTGTCGAGACATTCTAAAAAGAAAATGTGCATAAAATTCTAATTACACACCCAAGTTATTGCATGTTAGTAAAGAGAAAATGATCTTACATTGAACAGTACCTTTGATAGCATTTTCTTCAGTTCTTCATATAAATTTATACAAAATAAGGCACAGTCATAATTTAGAAAAAGTTCTCCTGGTAAACCAGGTATCTTCCACAAACGTAGTATAGCTTCTACATGTATCATTTATAAAATTGTTGTTAAAAAGAAATAAAAAAGTACAAAAATAAATAAATTAAATATTATTACTACCTACCTAAAGCAAGTTCTCTTTGTTCAAAAAGTAATTCGATTTAAATCAGAATTAATTATATCCATCGACTTTACAATGAACTGTTCAAATTGAAATTTGAGGTGTTTCACGCTGAGATTCAAAAAGTAAAAATGAAACCCGTACATCTGCAGCTAAAATTGACAAACTGTCTGTACCCAGTAACTAGAAAAAATTATAACAATTTTAAACATGAAAATCAACAATAATAGAAATTTTTATAAATGAATTTTCATTTAATTTTGAAATGTAGTATTAATATAACATATAACAGAATCTGCAGCTACTTCCGGAACTACTTGCAATAGACTCAATCCTAAATGTATCATGACTTTAGATTTTTGCTTATGGGTTTTGCTTTGGACTGTATAAAGATACTAAAAATCTGAATAGTTCCCTGATGCATAGAGAACATTAAGGAGTATGCTGCTGAACTGTAGTAAATCTGATTCCTTGTAAATTCACATATTCCTTAACAGATTCACCATCAGGTTTATTATTTGGCAAATTAGTGTTATTGATACCATCATCAACAGATAGATCTTCAATACTGCCACTTAGTGATTGAACATCATTGCATTCGTTCTCAGCGTTTCCTGAATTTTAACAGTTGTAATTAAAAAAATTAATATAACTGATCTTGATACAATTTTCTTATATAAAGAATGGCAAAAAAAATGTATTTACCTTGATTATTTTCAAGATTTCAAACTTGTCCAACTTTATTATCCACTTGCTCGTCAGATAATTTATTATCATTATTTAAACTTTCAATCTCTTAACCATTTTCCAAATTTTCATTCTTAGAAATCTTCTTTTCAGGATCAGTTATTACATTATGTGATTCAGAATTTCCCTTGCCATTAATATCTCAATGCACTGGTTTTAGAATCACCTTTACCAATATCAGATTTATCTGATGTTCCATGATTTCATGAACCTTGCATATCAACTATGTTGCCAGCAGGTGAAATAGATGTAGTAGCTATATGATTGACTTTGACTTTTTCAACCTTTTCAATTGGACTTAGAAACTGAGCTTATGCGTCATCCATATCATCAAGTTTTAAATTGGACTTTGGTTTTGCACTAATTTTATTTTTCTTAGGTTTACTTTTTTTTGTTTCCATCCTGTTTGTGCTCATTTTCTAAAATAACAAAAAGATAATTAATTCATTATAAAAAATAAAAGTAATTTGATTATTATAGTACTTTACCCTCATGCTAAGAAGTCCTCTAGTATCATCAGCAAATTGAGATAGCCTCACAAACAAATGATAAACCATATCGCGTAAACAATGTTTGCTGTCTTTCTTATTAATTCTAAAATAATAATGATTCATAAGAATCATGGTGTAAAAATGTTTAAGAAGTTGTTAGAATGAAAATTATTATACTGACCACTGAGACGAGTTTCCAAACTAATTCTAAAATAACTAAGCATTATTTCACATATGCTCTCGTTAGATAAATTATCTCCAGGTTGTGACAAAACTAGAGCCCTCAATACCTGAAGTATTCTCATGAGAACTACTCCGTCTTCAGAAGCATCAGTTCCTTCAAACCTTGCATGTGTCACTGTATTTGCTATTGCTTCAACACATGGAACAATAGCAAGGTGTTCTGAATCTAATTTAATAAATAATTTGATAATCATTACACTGTATAATACTCATCAAAGACAATAAATATTCTATAGATGGATACATACCAATAAGACCATAAAAATGATTTTATTTACAGTTGACAGCAAAATTAGTGACAGGTCTTGTTATTTCTTCAGACCTGTTTTTTAAACACAATTTTTTAATAATATGAATTATTAATGATGATTTCCAATATTACAATTCAATAATTATTCAATGAATCATTTCCATGTAATAATTTTCGCATCCGTGGCCCGTGCAATAAAAATGATGATAGCGTTGGTATCATCAGTATCTACTTTATCGATCATCTGGAACATTATATATTTGGAAAAATTTGAATTTTCCGTTACCGGGAAATTCGAAATTATTATAAAAAAGAATCTATAAGCCGTTAAAGTGTAGTTAGTATAAAGCTCTCCCCAAGCTCACATCAAAGTAGTATTCTAAGTGAAAATTAATTTAATTATTCATTATGAGTGAAAAAGAAAATGATCATCTAATATTAGAAAGTGAAGATGAGGAAAAAGGATTAAAATTGAAAAAGAATATCAAAGAGGCATTACGTGCATTAGAAAACGGTCAATCATTAAGAAAAACGGCTATACTCTACGATATTCCGCGGTCAACCTCAAGTGACATTAGAAATGGCAAAATTTCCCAATATGAAAAGCGACGAGGGCCGGAACCAGAGTTATCACGTGCTGGGGAAAGTAAAATCACTGAGTGGGTGGATAATTCCTGTGACATTGGATTTCCTGTTGATAAAAAAAGACTCATAGAGACTGTTCAAAAAACAATTAAAGATGCGAATTTACCTACAAAATTTGTCAATGATAAGCCAGGAGATACTTGGTATCGACTATTTTTAGGTAGACATAGGGATATAACTCAACGTGTTGCAGAGGGAATATCGAAAGGAAGAGCCATCGTCACAAAGGAGTCCATCGAAAACTGGTTCAAGGAACTGCGCGAATATCTAAAAGCAAATAATTGTTTGGATATTATGGATGATCCGAAAAGAATTTTAAATGGAGATGAGACTGGATTCAATTTGTCACCACCATCTGCTAAAGTACTTTGTCGCAAAGGGACTAAAAATGTCTACAAAGTAAATGTAGGCAACGACAAAGAGAATATTACCGTCTTGGTGTTTATAACAGCTGATGGATCTCTACTTCCGCCTTTAATAATTTACCCTTATCAACGTTTCCCTCCTGGGATCGTTGAAAGTGTACCCAATGAATGGTTTGTAGGTAAAACCAAAAGTGGGTGGATTAATACCGAGACATTTTTTGAGTACATGGCTAATTGTGTGAATCCATGGCTCGAGACATCTGGAATTAAGAAGCCTGTTATATGCTTTGTCGATGGCCATAAATCACACCTATCTTTGCCATTGAGCAATTTTTGTAGTGACAATGGCATCATACTGTATTCGCTCCTTCACTGAAACGGCGACAACCTTACGCGACAACCTCGTCGCAGATACTCGCACGTTCTCGAGGTTATGAACATCGATATCGAGTATCGTCTCCTCATAATTCGAGTAGGGCCCACTCGGATTGGTGGCGTGACTGTTTACTCGAGCATCGTGGAGGGCGATTTGCACGATATTGTATGCGCGCTACTCGACCATCGTGTGCTCGCTACTCGATGCCGAGTAGCGCGCACACGATGACGTTTAGGTAGCAGTGCCACGGCAGTTTGAGTGGCGGACTCACGACGCTGTGTGCTGCTCACTCGTTCGCCGTCTCAGTGTTCCAAATGCTACCCACATACTGCAACCTGCTGATGTCAGTGTTTTTAAACCGATTAAGACTGCCTGGACAAAAATTGTTCATGAGTGGCAAATCCAACCAGAGAACTTCAATACACCATTAGGAAAACTACAGTTTGCTCCTCTTTTAAAGAAAACGTTTGATGTCACAGAGCTAAAACAATCAATTAAAAATGGCTTTGAAGCCACAGGATTGTATCCTTTTAAAGTAGAAAAAGTTAACTATACCAAATGTGTCAAAAATAAAGCAGAGGCTTTAGCAGAAGCACAACCTGTTCCAAATCTTCAAGTTAATGGATTGTTGTCGATGCTTGACTATGTGCGAGACTCATTATCTCACAAAGGGATCGATGTAAATATTGTGAAAGCAGTGGTAGAAAAGTCCTTGAACTGCTCTACAGGTACGTTTTACAATCAATTCTTCTTTAGTCCTTTAAGAATTTGATAATCCTCTTCTTTTTTCTTGCATATGGTCACTGCAATTTACATCTATATTAAGGTTGATACAGGAGCCTGAAAACAGTCCCAAAGAATCAATATTTTATTATTTATGTCAAGGATGTTATAGACTAAAATATACTTATCTGATTTTAATTAATTTTTTGATTTTTTCCTGTTAAAATTTGCTTTGTTTTCATCATAAGCTTTATTAATAGAACTCAAGTTCATTATGAAGCCTTCATCTTCATCTTGGAGGATAAAGGCATATTTTATATATGAATTTAACAATGTTAAAATAAATGTGCTTTTCTCTGTATCTTGGTGTACAGTATAGCAGTAGACAATTTTTATCACTGAGTGACACGAACCACTAGCCAGTAACTCAGTAACTCTTGGAACTAACTAATGGCGCTACTTGTCAAGGTATACTACACCGATTCAAATTGCAATTGCATGCTGAACTTGAAGCTCTTATACTGCTGTGCTTATATGCAACAGAGAAAAGCTTATTTATTTCAGCATTGTTAAATCATTCATATTAAAAGTGAAATTACATCCTTCAAGATTTATCAAGGTTTTATGATGAAATTATAATATACTTGAAAATGAAAAGAATTCTAACATAAAAACTCTATAAATAGATAGCACTTAAATGAGTTTTTAGACTCTTATAATCATTCTTGATTAAGAGATACTGCACAACAAAATGTGTCTTATTTCTTAATAGCAAAAAGTTTAGTAAATGTATCAGTTGATGTTTGGTTTATTTTACACTTTTTTCATTACTTTTCTATCATCTGCTTTGTAAATTTCATACTTATAAGTACTTGCATACTGAATGTTTTGATGACATGTTTGTTCCACTTTTCAGGTAAAGAAATTGAAGCTAAAGTTTCACATGAAAATTTGTCAACAGTTGAAATTAGTAAGAAATTTTTAAATTTTTAAATTTTAGAAACACTCAATTGGTTTTGATATTACAATTGAATGTTGTTTAAATTTTTAGGTGATGAAGTTGAATTTGTAAATGAAAATTTACCAACATTAGCTGAAATTAGTAAGCATTTTTGGAATTATTTATTTAATAAAATTTACTTCCTGAAGCATTATTTTCTGTTACATATGAGGATCTGATTAATAGCCTTTTCTTGGTAATATTTTAATGAATAATAAAACATTGTTTATATTATAGATGGAGATAATGAAATTGTACTTGAAAAATCAACAAAAACAATTGAACTTAGTAAGTAACTTTATACTTACTAATATTATTCATCATGTTTAGTTATCACATTATCACAGTATAATTAATTCATTTATAATTTAATTATATTCTAGTTTTACCAGATGGGTCTATTTCGTTTGTAGAGATTATTGACGTTGTTGAGCCTCAAGTGAATGATTCTCTGCAACTCGATGACGCAGATTACATATTGCAAGAAGAAGATTTGCTTAGTGATGGTAAACACACAATAAATAAATACAACAGATAATGTTAAATTTGACCATAGAGTTACCTGAGAGGAAAACTAATATTTGTTTCAGATTGTATTTTCATGGATGATACATTTATGACGGAGCCAATAGAAAATAATAATTTTTTAAACGGTACCAGTCATACTATTACATCTGGACAATATGGTAAGTTGGATTTTTTATGCATAATTAAAAAATATGACAAAATTTCACACAATATTTTATTTATCAATTGTTGCAGCTTCTACTTCCATGGATGATGAATTTATGATGGAACCAGTAAAAAGTAACAATGTTTCAAACTGTACCAGTAATACTATTACACCTGGGCAGTATGGTAAGTTGGATTTTTTATGCATAATTAAAAAATATGAAAAAAATTTCCCACAATATTTTTTATCAATTGTTGCAGTTTCTACGTTCATGGATAAGACTTGTATGATCAAGCCAATAAAAAATAATAATTTTTCAAACGGTACCAGTCATACTATTACATCTGGACAATATGGTAAGCTGGATTTTTTATGCATAATTAAAAAATATGAAAAAATTTCACACAATATTTTATTTATAAATTGTTGCAGCTTCTACTTCCATGGATGATATATTTATGATGGAACCAGTAAAAAGTAACAATGTTTCAAACTGTACCAGTAATACTATTACACCTGGGCAGTATGGTAAGTTGGATTTTTTATGCATAATTAAAAAATATGAAAAAAATTTCCCACAATATTTTTTATCAATTGTTGCAGTTTCTACGTTCATGGATAAGACTTGTATGATCAAGCCAATAAAAAATAATAATTTTTCAAAAGGTACCAGTCATACTATTACATCTGGACAATATGGTAAGCTGGATTTTTTATGCATAATTAAAAAATATGAAAAAATTTCACACAATATTTTATTTATAAATTGTTGCAGCTTCTACTTCCATGGATGATATATTTATGATGGAACCATACTATTACACCTGGGCAGTATGGTAAGTTGGATTTTTTATGCATAATTAAAAAATATGAAAAAAATTTCACACAATATTTTATTTATCAATTGTTGCAGTTTCTTCTTTCATGGATAAGACTTGTATGATCGAGCCAATAAAAAGTAACAATGTTTCAAACGGTGCCAGTCATACTATTACATCTGGAGAGTATGGTAAGTTGGATTATTTATTCATAATCAAAAAATATGAACAAAATTTCACACAATATTTAATTTATCATTTGTTGCAGCTTCTACTTCCATGGATAAGACTTGTATGATTGAGCCAATCAAAAGTAACAATGCTTCAAACGGTACCAGTCATACTATTACAACCGGACAATATAGTAAGCTAATTTTTAGTGTATTATTTAAAAAAGTTGAACTTTTAAACATTTTTTGTTTTTTGTCAAAAGAATCTCAAACTTTCAAGCAACTGGCCCCATCGTTTGAGAAACATTTATGCTATCCAACACCAATAACAAAGCAACAGAAAAAACCGACAGAAAAATTGGTAAATGCAATTTCTTCTGCAGCATTTCAAGACCAACTGTCTAAAAAAATTAAAGAAAAAGAGGAAAAAGAAATGATGAAAAATAAAAAGAAAGAGGAAAAAGAGATTATAAGAAATAAAAAAAGAGAAGAAGAGATTTTGAAACAAAAAAAAAAGGAAGAAAAAATTCAAAAAGCTGAAAGCCAACACGAAGAAGACTTATTCAAAAAAATTAAAAGGAAAGTAAGTCAAGAACGTCAAAAAATTCAAAAAGCCATAAAAAAATTTGACAAAGTCAAAAACACAGTTTCATCAACGAATCAATCAGTAGGAGAAGAACCATTAGAAAAAAAAATTAAAAGGGAAATTATTCATGAATTCGAAAAGCCGAAAAAAGAAGGATCGAGAGAGAGAAAAAAAGTTGTAAAATTAAATTTGTAAATAATTTTTTATTAATAACATAATAAAATAGTTTAGTATATAATTTTTTAGTTCATTTATTTCATTTATATTACTCACGCGAACATTATTATTGATTTACAAGCTAATTTTTAGGGTGTCCGAAAACTAAAAGAAAAGTGTCCGAAAACTAAAAAAAGTGTCCGAAAACTAGCATTTTCGGTTTTTTTTAGAAATTCCTCTTAAAATAGCTGAAAAAATTATTTTAGGTAAAAATAAACATACGCATTAGAAAGAGCAGAAAATTTCCTAAAAGATGGTATATTCAAAAAAAATTTTTATCAAACGAGTAAGCTCCCCCTATCGATTATAATAGGAAATTTCCTTAAGTGTCCGGTAACAGAACAAAGGGGAAATTTGTTGGACTCTTAATATCTTTTTTATTTGCCTGGAAACGCCCATTTATAATTATGTAATTCGGAAGCTAATGAAATTTTCTATAACATAAATTAATTTCATTAACTTCTAAAGCGATTTAAGCTCACAGTACACCGAAAACTGCCACTTCCCAATTGATTCAATGTTAAGTGGCCAAAACTTTGAATTTCATTATTTCCCAAGTTGAAGTAACACAGACAGAATCGAATTAAATTACGTGAACGTCTTAATTTAATCGTTTATCCAGTATCTGGAGGCACCTTTCGAGCGACAGGAGAAAATAGACTTTTAAATTAACTCAATTTTTCACTGATTTTGTTCGTAGCTTAGTCAATTGAAAGGTAGCCTAATAAAGAAGGTCTGAATAAAATTTCTATTCTATTATAACGCTTCAAAGCAGTGCAATGATATGTGCGATGCAATAATAATGGCTGCGAACCTTGATCGCCACCGATGATCAACGGATTTTTCTCTCCGAGTAAGAAACATTCGCAACAATGGTAAAAAAGCAACGTGGTTCTCACGTTACGCTAAAGCTAGACTGCGTTTCGTGCGTAACCTCATGATTTAAAACTGCTTGAAAAGCAATATGTGTCAATATATCTTTTGTTCCCACGATCCACTGAAAAAAAGAGACCTAGACCATTCAGAAATAGAATGTTTTCTTTTGTCATTTGTCTCACCGACTGTTAATACTCGTGTGAATTCAGGTGTAAAAAGAAAATAAAGAGGGAGATAAATAGATGAATAGATAACTTTATTCGGACTTCGAGAAATTTGGCACAATCGATACAAAAATGAATGGTATTAAATATATATAAAGAGTTGATGAGCATATTAAGAAAAATATGTACAAAATTTATTCGACGCAAATATGTATGCACATGAGGAGATGATGGATAGAGAGAGAGTTTGAGTTTGAGTTTTATTTTGAAACGGACCGTGTGAGAGAGAGAGAGAGAGAGAGAGAGAGAGAAAGAGAGAAGGAGGGAGAAATAAGTCATTGAAAAGGCCGCTATGCTCCTACTACTTACAACTTTACTTACTACAGCTGCGTACAAAATTTCTAATACAGTGACATATTATATGCACTTATACCTACTATACCTTTTATATGGTAGCTAGGGTTAGATACGTTCTGAACTCCGTCACCGACGTACTATATAGGGCATGTTAACGTGCTCGTATCGGTATTGAGCCAGACTGTAACGGTATTTACGCTAAAACTTAAAAGAGTAATCTGTTCATATTACTCTTTGGAAAAGAGTGACAAACGCAGATTACTCTTTTTTAGATAATACTACTTCAATCATAAAAGTATTTCGTGCAAATCAATTTTTTGAAAGTGTAATAAAGGCAAACCAATCTTCTTTTGGAAACCTGGACAGTAAAAAGAGTCACTTTATACCGGCAGATAGTGACAGATTATAAATAATTTGGTGATCTTTTGATTAATGCTGAGCGAAGCAAAGTCGTCTTCCTTTCAGCTTAGTGTTTTGTATCGTTTTTTTGTCAACGATTTCGAGAATACGAGTTGACCGATCATTATGAAAATTTTGGTCGTTGTTAAGGCTATGCAGATGGAGATCTGATTACATAAAAGGTATTTATTTTTCAACTCTTTATGCACTTGTATGCATTTTTTCCTACAACTTTAAATAAATTTATGTAAATTGGCGGGAAAATTTTTCAACGACTCACAAATTTACAACAGGGTAGCCACCTGCTTTTTTTTAGTTTTGACTTCGAATGCACTTGGCTACTCTTAATAACAAAACTACCTACTAATACTACTACTAACTTTTAATAACAAAAAAATGAAAATTTTTTATAAATATTTCACATTAAATTTTTGCACCAATTTGAATTTCACGCTTAATCTGGGTGCTGCTTTTGAGAGCACTATAGTTGCCCACTTGACACCGGTCAGATTACAACATGAGAGCGTTTTTAGTAACCGTCACTAACCGCTACTCTCAAACAGCTGATTTGCTTGTATAGGCATAACAAACCCGGCTTCATTCACTTTATATGTACAGTCGATTAGTTTAATTGCAAATTACAACTAAGTAAGTTTAGATGAAAATATATTAAAAAATCCCTTGACGTAGGAGAAGACTTCATCTTTTCATCTATCGAAGCGGATTTTTCCATTTCACCTTTGTTAATGTAGTAAAAATTGTTGAAATTTCGGTCATTTCGGAGTCTTACTCGCTGCTCGGCGAATACTGTCAACACCGATTAGCGCGTGTCCATGGTCGTTTTTAGCGATATTTGAGATTTGATTTTGTTTTCTATCGATCAATCTGCAATCATAAAATAAAAAATGGCGTTGAAGTGTTATGTCACAGGATGCAAAGCTAATTCCCAAAATGAAAAGTTTTCCTTCTTTTGTATACCAAAACAAAAGTCGAAAAATAATAGAAATTCTGAAGAATTAAGGGAACTGAGTCGAAAAAAGCAATATACGTGGATAAGAGCTCTCAAACAAGAACCCTTCACAGACAAAAAATTAAATCATTTTAAAGTATGCAGCAGGCATTTTATCTCAGGTATATTTTTAGATCTCTCTCGTTTATAGCAACCTCAATTACATCTATTTTGATTACTCTTTCTTCTTTATTTTTATTTGTAACAGGTAAGCTTGCTGTTATATTAGATGTAAATAGTCCAGACTAATGATAAAAATTTAATTGGTCTTATTTGTGAAGATGAAATTGAAGATATTGAACATCTATTTAATGAATCTTTGGAAAAGTCTACTCAAACGTTCGAAAATAATTTCAATGTTGATTATGTTAAACAACTATTATTGAAGTTAAAAAATAATGAAAAAGTTATCGAGCAACTAAATTTTCAAATTAAAGCTAAAGAATTTTCCAAAGATTTATTTTAGGTGACAATTAATTCAAGAACCTTATATTACACTGGTCTTTCTAACACTGAAACCTTATTCATAATTCATGAAACTGTCCACAGGTACTTAAAACCTATCAAGAGCAAATGTGCCTTAAGCATATTTCAGAAACTAATTTTAACTTCAATTAGGTTACACTTAAATTAACCCTTTGCAGATCTTACTGAGAGGTATACTTTGATGATCATACATGGTAATTAATTTTAGTTAACTCATATCTTACTTTTCTTTTTAGGTTTAATATTTTCTTATCCACAGCTTCTAGAACTTTCAGGAACACTATTAATATTTTATTTATATGTTTTTCTGAATTAATTGTCTGTCTAGAAAAAGAGATATTAAATTTGCAGCATTCCACATATTTTGAAGCGCATAAGAGTTATAATTGATTGTTTTGAGATTTTTATTGAAGGATCTAAAGATCTTCTTTCCAACGCAGAAAGTTGGTCTCTATATACAAACATCATAAAACAATCAAAGTTTTAATCGGCATCACAGCACATGGAAGTAAAAGTTTTATATCTAAAGCTTTAGCCCAATCAATGAAAATCTGTCTCTATGTTAAAAAAAAAAAACCAGAGTTTGTAACCAGAATTTTACGACGGATTCTTATTCTGGGTACCATAAGCAGCTAATTTTCATAAAATGTGTAAGTGTAAGTTTAAGGATAAAATGTTTCAAACAAAAGTCGTAGGCATTTTCAAGACCTTTATTCTGGTATTTTTAAAAATTTTTTTCGTCCATTTGTTTATTTCTCAGGTCGAAAAAACCTTAAAAAGTGGCCGTTTTTACAATTGTTTATAATTATTTATTAAAACGTGCTACAGCAATGAAATCTTTTACAAATGTAGCCCTCGTTACGCAGAATCCAATACATTTTTCAAAATCTCGCTAAATGCATTATCTATCGAGATATTGCATTTGTTTATTAAAAAATACTCCCCTAGAGATTGTTTATTATCTCGGAGTTAGCTCAACGTACGAAGATCGGGCAGGGTGCAAATGAAAGATAGAGACCTCTCAGTTAATTTGCAATAATAAAAACGATAATTTGTTCTTGAAGACTTGCAAAATTAACACCAGAAATAAACGGGTACGAAAATTCTTATAAACAAATTAACTTATCTGCCGAACCAGAAGTCGTAAGTCAAATTGAATTTCAGCATCTTGTTCCTGGCATTTTGACGCAAATTTAAAAAAAGATTTACTTCTCTAACTATATTAGAAGCGAAATTAAGCTTTTTTTTATAAAAAATCACCACGGCTTTGTTTATTAACATTAAGAGCTGAAATTTGGTATACATTCAAACGAAATTTTGAACTTTTATATGTAAACTAATGCAACTATCAATCACCGTTAT